TACATATCATGACCATAACCATGAATTCCAGTGGTTGGGAAAGAACCATAGTTCAATGGTAAAGCACATACATTATAAGGAGAATGTCCCAGGTTCAATCTTGAACTTCTGAAATGAAAAAAAAAAACACATTTTAAATTAATCTGTACTTTAAGTTTAGAGGGTGCAATGTTTCTATTCCTGAGAGCTCCTCTTTATAGAGTGTGGTTAACTTTATAGAGTTGGCGGTACCAAAACAAAGAAGTGGGAAGGATGAGGGCAAGCATTGTATTTGTTTTAAATTCAGTTCAATTTAAATTAACTTTATTCCTCACATTTATATAGTCCCGTATCTCACAAATGTGTCTCTGGGAGGTATACAATAAAAATATTAGCTCATAAAAACCAAACTTTAAAAAGGTTTCATAATAAGAATATTAATATTATTTTAAAAGACTAGGGAAGAACATCTTCAGTGATACAGATAATGTAGCCTTTTCAACAAATCTCTGTTACCAGAGATCCCCACGCCTCTTAACATAAGCACATTTTGAGGGAATTCTGGAAGGGTCAGTCTCACTTCATGGAGAATTATGTTCCAGAGGACCTGTCTCTTGGGTCCTTCCAGTTGCAACTCCTTAATTAATCACACCACAGTTATGTAAAATGTTGACTATCATTCAGCACTACCAATGTAACTTAAAAGCTCTGGGGGCTGACAAGAGTTCTAGAACAATGCTCTGTGAAACCTTGAAAGATAGGAAGGCTCTTTTTCTCAGTCTCTGGAGAGTTTGGACTTAGACATAATTGTCAGACAGAAGACTGAATTATAGACTAGATGATTGACAGTAAAAGCTGCCTACCTTTCTCCCTATACAAGATTAATTATTACATTAATCATTCTGGAATAAATATTTGGTTATGCAGAGTATTTGTTGTGTGGTTTTGTTTGTACACATAACATACCTGAGGGCAAAAACCCAACACATCTGAAAGGCATCCATTTGGATAATATAAATCTGCTCTTCAGCTGCTGTTGCTGCTTCTGTGTCTAGATCAAACTTTAAGCTGCCAGAATGAAGCCACCTTCTTGGCTTTGTTGTTGGCAAAAAATAAGTCATTATTGGTACATGTTTCTAGTAGTAGCCAACATAACAACAGATGGGCAGGACTCTGTCTCTCCCCATTCACATGGTTTTTAGCTAAGCTGTATGAGTCAATTTTGTACTTTCACATTGTGTTATCATGCTTTGTTCTTTTGTTCTTGGTGTAATGTGTGACCCCAGCCATTGTGATTATGTTTGGGTGGTCTGTAGATTCAGCTAATTGTGCCTTAGTTAATAAAATATAATTAAACAAACAAATCACATATATTATTAATACATGTGAATGCTTCCCCTTTCTTTGGAATAAGCTCTATTAATTTATTTGTCAGACTTATTTGCAACAAATAAATGTGGGGACTATTGAATACAGTACCTATTCAGGCATTTGGAAAGCAAAACCATTCTTAATTTTATTAACTGAGTTAAAAGTATCTCACTTAGCCATGGTTTATTTAATCATTATTTGTTGACTCCATCAAAGCTGTTTGGTTTAAAGCTAAATGCTAGGCCAGAAACTATTATTTACAAAGCACATTATCTGGGCTTGTACAATGTACTAAGCAAAAAAGAAAATTATTAATTTTAATACTTTTATTATTACATTTTTACTTATGAAGATAGCATAGATTACATGCCATATATAGAATAAAATAGAATTCTTTATTGGCCAAGTGCGATTGGACACACAAGGAATTTGTCTTTGGTGCATAAGCTCTCAGTATACATAAAAGATATAAGTGATAAATCATGGTCATAGTAATCATAAATACATTCATCATGAATCATAAGATACATCACTTAGTGATAGTCATAGGATACTAAATAAGCAATCAAATTCATACTCGGAAACTAAATAAAACAATATAAATCATAAAGATACAAGCAACAAGGTTATAATCATAAGTAGAAGGAGATAGGTAGGATGAGAAGAATAATAGTAATATAGTCTTAGTAAATAGTTTGGCACTGTTGTGGTAATTAGTTGTTTATCAGAATGATGGCACGTGGGGAAAAACTGTCCTTTTGTCTAGTTGTTCTGGTGTGCAATGCTCTATAACGAAGTTTTGAGGGTAGAAATTGAAACAATTTATGTCCAGGATGTAAGGGGTCTGTAGATTTTCACAGCCCTCTTTTTGACTCATGCAGTATACAGGCAGGTTGGTAGCAATTTTTTTCTATAGTTCTAATTATCTGTTGATGTCTGTGTCTGTCTTGTTTAGTTGCAAAACCAAACCAGTCAGTTATAGAGGTGCAAAGGCCCTCAAACATTGGCTTCATTGCTTCTAGGTAGTTTATGGAGAGAAGGAACATTTGGTGCTCCAGTTCCTAAATTACCACTTGGACAGTGCTATATATTTAAGAAATATATGCCACTGTGTTAGAAACAAGGAACTACACTGGAAAGTTTTATAACTAGTATCAAAAAAGCTATAAACAGAAGCGGTTAATAGAATACCTTGACAACCCCTTGCAAATAAAACAAAAAACAAAATGTTGACCATGCTTACAATTTCTGGTATCTTCCTATTTAATCCTGCAACTTGAAATATCTTAAAATATTCCACATGAAAAAGCTGGATTGAAATCCTATCAAATAATTTTGGGGTTTGCTTTAAATGGAGCTCTATTTACTTGATGCAGACTTTGGCTTTTGATGTTGCTTTGCCTATTGGATATTGTCTCTGCTTCAGTGGACAAGTAGCCATATCAGAAAAAGACACAAATTCTATTAATTCACTATAGGCGCTAAAGTAAGAAAAAGGAATGCTATGCACAATTTTCATGGCATAAGCACATCTGAATATAGGGGAGTCCTTCTGAGTAAAGATGCATAAATTTGTCCAAATTATTGCAGTCTACATGTCTATAGATAAACTGTATCAGGGACATGACTTGTTCAACTCAGTCAACATGACTCTGACTAATGAATGAATAGGTATCTGCAATAATAGGGTAAGAATTTTAATCCATCACACAGGATATTCTAAAATAGTGAGGGGAGCAATGTTTTATTTGGGGACTGCACTTTTTATACAAAATGTTTTTTCTCCTTATCAACATAGTAGAAAAAGTGGCAATACCCATGAGAGGAGTTTCTTTTTCAAATTATTTGATGGTTTAATCATTTTTAGAACAGTCTATATTTACACTTGTCAGATTTAATATGCCTGATAGGTTTTTTTAATGAGAAAAAGAGGAGGAGGAAGATTGTACATAAAATACGACAAAAGTGCAACAGATCCAAAAGGTGACGTAGGTCTCATCGTGATGTGTTGCAATTAAATGAATTATTTCACGTTGATGGCAAGGTTATTTGTCTGAAATAAGACTTTTTAGGTATCCAAATCTATATATCCACGATAACAAAAGCTATGTAATAAATTGATTGCATTCAGTAAAAAAAGGCAAGATGGTATCAGGTGGTTTTATTTTGCTGCATTAAACTCAAAGCAGATGGAACCATCCACTCCATTACCTAATCGCCAGTTTGCCTGGTGTTTGCTGAGTTTTCCCATCATGAAATTGGATCCAGCCACCTTCTTGCTGAATTTGCATAGACTGCATTTGCCAGAAATGAAATAACTTTTAACACTAAAAAAGGAGACAAACCATTATGCCATTGACACTGGCCACAACATGTTTGTTCACTGGTGTGTGAGAGATCTCTGCCTTTCTTTTTCTTGGGGCAACAGAGCCAATCAGATTAACCACTAAGTAGAACCATCCTTTTTGTTAGATTTTAGTCAAGACATCCAGATCCAAGTTTGATTTCAAGATAAAGAGAAGTACACAAATAGGACTCGAAACATCACCCATCTGCAGAGAGCATCTGAGCAACAGATTGAGCAAGCAATCTTTCTCACTACTCTGATGAGATGCATTTTAAAAGTAATTCTTTTAGTAACTCACATTTGCATTTATACATATCAAACAGCATATGCTAACTGTATCCAAATTTCTGCCCTCTTGGGGAAAAGACATAACTGTCGCTAGAGTTCAAATTGAACACAGCCAGTTTGGAAATTATTGCTGTATTGAATTCACATTGCTGTGTGAAATTATAAAGAGGCTCTTTCCTTCTACTTGGCAAAATCTGAAGAAGATGCATTTGGCTTAAATCTCATCCCAGTGTTATCCCTGATGATAACAACATAAAGATGTATCTGAAATCTTTTCATAGATCCATGTTAAGTTCTAGTTTTTAATGCATTTCTCTTTTCAGGATAGCAGTATGTCAAAAGTGAATAGTGCCAGAGACAAAATCAGCTTGAATAATTGCCCAGTCCTTCTGAGGGAATGTTTTATGTGTTTGTGTGTGTGTTTGTGTGTGTATACACACTCGCTGTTGTCTTGACAGCTCATCATAAATCACTTGGAAAAATGTTTGGATTGCTAAAGAACCCTAGCCTGTGAAATTTAGATACATATTTGTATTTTAAAACAAACTTCAGCGATTTGCAAGTTATTGTTACTATGGTCAGTTCTAGAAAATGGGCTATTGTAATCTGCTGTCTGGGGTAAAGAAATTACTGGCTGAAACAGAATTAATAATAAGGTCATAATTACTGTTTTTCTTTCTCCACTTCCTTGCCCTATCAAAATAAGGAAATATTTTTATGCCTAATCTTTGTTGTACTTAAGTGTTTTTCCTAAAAACCTATATATTGCTTGAAACAGTTCTAGGACATAACAAGATGAGAATGGCACGTTTTATTTTCATTATAATTGTTCTTGAGATTATAAATACATGCATACACATAGTCTTTAAATAATTAAAAAAAAATGTTTTGGTCTTTATGGCACAAAAAAAAAACAACCATAAAAATCCACAGGGGCTTCTTTCAAACATAACATTTACAAATTTATGTGGGTGTTCCTGTTAAAACAAAAACTTCCCATCAAAATGCAACTGACCTGCCATTTTGTATCTCCTTCCATGCATATTGCTCTGTAGTCTTCCAACCTGAGATTTTCATAGCCCATGTGATACACCAACATTGAGAAGGCAGTCTGGGAAAGTTGGGGAATCTGCAGAATTTCACCTATTAAGATTGAGTTGGCTGCTTTGAAAGGAAGAGGAACAGTGAGTTGTGAAAACTCACTGTTACACTAGAGGTCATACTTTGTTTATTTGCTTGGCAAGAGAATATTAGTCATATATTGATGTCATCTATATGGTGGCTAGGACTCAAAAACAACTTGATTGCATAATCAATCAATCCATTGACATCAGGACTGGGAGAAAAGGGTACACCTTTTCTGGCCTGTTTGAAATGGTGGGGAAGTTTAATAACTTATTTGATGCTTATTTATTTCATTCTTTAAATCGATTAAGCAAATTACAGCTAAAATGACAATTTATCCTTCAACTATAGCAACACAATCTTGGTGGGGCTGCAACAATAGAAGCCTGTGCAACCCTGCATCCCATTGTCATGGCTGTAACACTGGGAGCGTTCTTTTATTAAAGTTTTCTTATTATGCTTTTCTTCTCTCCCAATTATTCCCTCTTTGGTTATGTCCTTTTCTGGATTTTAGTAAAGTTTTATTATTTTGAGGGACGCAATTTTATCATGGAAGCTATGACTAGAAAAGGCCTAAAAGCCGAGGCCTAAAATATGGCCTAGACAGCAGTTCTCAACCTTGAAGATGTATGGATTTCAAGACTGGTTGGGGAATTCTGGGAGTTGAAGTCTACACAACTTCAAGCTGCAAAGGCTGAAAAATCCTGGCCTAGAATGTAAGCGCATGGAAATACAGGTGGCAATATTGCTCTTCTGCCCACCCATTAAAGGCTTAAGAGGACAATGGTAAGAATCATTGCCAAGGAAGGCCAACAGGAGCTATATATTCTTCCCATTTAGGATTCATCTGATGTGGGCTACATAAATCTAGAGCACTGCTAAATGGCAGCAAAAAACTATGGGTTTTCTATATCTCTTTGCTGCTATCTACTGGTTGTTCAGCTCTAGTAACTCGATTGTCATTATCCTGGACTTCTGACACTCTTTTAAAAATGTACCTGGTTCCAATGATGCAGGGGAAAAAAGTTTGTGTTGGCTGAGCTAACCTGGTTTCCTGGGATTTGAGAAATTTTAGCAGAATGTATGAGCCTGTGGTTGCTGATTAACCTTAGGGTGATATGTTTGTTAGAGCTGACTCATAAACAGCCCACACTGAACTTGTAACAACGCAGGTGACTCATATTCAAACCAAAAGAGGTTTGTAGCTACAAATCCTCCTCTGCAGTTTTCCCCACCCCTCTTTAAATAACAAATATGCATTGGATTTTCCTTAACACTGAAATATTTACCAAATAATCAGCTTCTGGTCACATTTGATTTCAATACTTTATATTTAATAGTTGGAATCTGGCCATAGTTCCATGTAATGCAAAATGCTGTTTACAGCATGTTACGTGATAGACAGTGGCATTACATTCTAACAAATATATTACCTCAATACTTGTGAGTTTTCGTACTTGACTTGTTTATAGCAGAAACCAATGTGGTATAATGATTGCAATGCCTAATCAGAAATTGTCCTCTTAAAAGTTTACAAATTCATAAATGTTAATATGATCTTAACCCAACTATTTCCTGTGGATTGATGTATCTTGCAGATTAATTTTGTTATCTGGATGAAATTTACCATATAAACTTATATAGACACCAATCTCACAAATGTAGTGCATGTATGGTTAAAAGCCAAACAAAACAGACATAAAATTGAAGCAATATGTAATTAAGGATACTCGGATGAAGCTTAGGAAATGGAGATAATTAAATTAAGTGGAGATGAACATCCATGGCATTTCAAACCCAACAAATCATAATCTACTTATTTCAAAATTGCTTGAAAGCAAAACAGCACATATCTGAAAATCTGCATTTTGGGGGTACGCACATGCATTTTGGGCATTCAGTGCCCAAAAGGTTCACCATCACTGACCTAAACCAACCTTGGGCAATTCTAAAAAAGCTAAACAGGATCTGATCTATTTAGCATTTTTATGGGAGACCACTAAACTCCCTTGGATGTAGGCTAGACAGGGAAGTAGAAAAGACAGAAAGCAAAACCCACCAAATTCATAGTTTCCCAATTGTTAGCCTGATACCTTTAAAGTTACATCAACCCAGCTCTCTTATCTCCACATCTGGACAGTTCAGAAGGTAACCTCTGTACAGGTAGCCTGTAAAGAGATCATTTCTTCTGCTTTTATGTACAAGCCAAAACAAGCAATGAAGCTCTGTTGGCATTTTTGCCTCCTAGTGCTTTTCAGAGAGCCATGGTTATTATTCTAACTGCAAGAGCAAGGGAATACTGTTGGGAGGGACCTCAACATGTTTCAGCTATTTTTAGGTCCTTGCAATTCTTTTTAGTGGTTGAAAGAAATGGAGGCAAACCCCACAAGAGGTCTGTCATCCCATCCACTCCCCTCTGCAGTGGATCAACAGCTATAAAGCTCCAAGATGTTACTTCTGGGAAGAGCCTTCTGAACTGAAAGGCTTTCTAAGGGGAGAATATCCTTGCCTCAAATTCAGGACTCTGAATTCCTTCCAGCAGGGCAACCAAACTGCCTAGAAGATCAGTGTTTGAACATACAGGTAGTCCTTAACTTACAATAGTTTGCTTAGTGACCATTCAAAGTTACAACAGCACTGAAAGAAGTGACTTATGACCATTATTCAGTTACAACCATTGCAGCATCCCCATCATCCTGTGATTTACACTCAGATGCTTGACAACTGACTCACATTTATGACCATTGCTGTGTTCCGGAGTCCTGTGATCCCCTTTTGTGCCCTTCTGACAAGCAAAGTCAATGGGGAAACCAGGTTCCCTTAACCACCATGTTACTCACTTAACAACTGCAGGCATTCACTTAACAAACGTAGCAAGAAAAGTTGTAAATGGAGCAAAACTCACTCAACAAATATCTCACCTAGCAACATAAATTTTGGGCTCAATTGTGGTGGTAAGTAGAGGACTACCTCTATTTTAAAATAAAAAGCTAATTTTGCTACATTTTTCATCACACCACAACTAGGCTGGAAATGAATCGACCAGAGTTGATTTAAAGTTAGCCTTGTGACCACAGAGGTCCAAGAACAGCTTCCAAAACTAGGTTGATTCCTCTTATGCATTCATTCCCTTCCCTTAAAATATTTCTAGCAGCATAGCAAAAGTAACATTTATCCCTCTCTCCCTCCCCCCTGTATTGTCAAAGCTACCAAACCTAAGACGCACCCCTCAAGGCCTGACTTTGGACCCTCCCCTCTTCTGGCTCTAGACCAGGGATAGTCAACCTTTTTATACCTACCGCCCACTTTTGTATCTCTATTAGTAGTAAAATTTTCTCTAACCGCCCACCGTTTCCACAGTAATGGTGATTTATAAAGTAGGGGACAAAACCCCCACCGCCCACCATGAAAGCTGGAACGGCCACGAGTGGGCGGTAGGGACCAGGTTGACTATCACTGCTCTAGACCATCCCAGACTGCAGGGAGCCGGAGGACACAGACCGAGGATCTCCAAGGAAGATGCATCTAAATCAGGGGAGGAGTGGAAGGGACTGGCAGAGGGAGGAAATGCAATGTATTATACACCCTGATTTTGATTTATCATTGGGCCCTCAGAAGCGTAGGGAAGGGAGAGACGCAGAGCCAGTCAAGAAAATAAACCGAGCCACTGGGAAATGCATAGAAAGAAAACCAACGGCCTCTGTATGTTTCCAAAGACCAACGCGGGGTTTCCAAACCAAAGTATGTCGTCTCTCTCTTGCCCCCTGGTTCGGCGCCTGACGTCTCTCGCTTTGCTTCGTACCGTCCTTTTCGACGTAACGGACCGCACACGACCAGAAATCACCGGCAATATCCCTGGGCGTACGCTCCCAAAGCCCTCCCGCCCTGCCTCTCAATCAGCCCGTTGAGAGGCGTCGGTTTCTTCGAGGGAGTCTGCAGGGGATGACGGCTCCCATTGTTTAGTGCGGTGCCGGCCGCTGCAATGTTTGGTAGCTTCGTGGGCGATTAGGGAATGGTGGTGCCTCCTCCCCAAACCGGTGGGGTACAGAACGCTCCCTCAGGCGGGAACGGAAACTTTACAAAGGCGGGAAAAAAAGGCTTTGATTCGGGGACTGGCTTATCTGGGCTTTTGAAAATGGCCAGGGAGGCAATTACGATCGAGGAGTTCTGGGACAGCGGCTCTTGAGTGGCAGGAGAGAAGATTTGTACCTCAGGATTGAACAGTGGGCTCTTTGGCGCTCTTTCTGAGCTTGGGTGGTTTTCTTGCAGACATTTTATTACCGTACTGTTCGGTTGGGTAAGGAAACATCGGCAGGAAAAGCAGTAGCACCAAAGATCCCACAGAAGTGAAGAAACGCCGTAATGCCCTCCCTCTTCCCCCTCCCCCCCGTCCGCGCGCGCGTGAAAGATATACACCCAGGGACAAATGGGGTTCAGAACCACTCAAATCTGCTTGATATATTTCTGAATAGATGAAAATAAAAGCTTAAGCAGTGTTTTGATCCATCCCTAAGTTTATGCTGAACAATAAAACAAAATTATTTCAGGGCTTGCTTATTTCAGGGCTTGCTTATGGTCCTTCAGATACACATCCCTACTCTGTCTGTCTGTCTGTCTATATCTATCTATCTATCTATCTATCTATCTATCTATCTATCTATCTAT